TTTTGTCTTGGCTTTGTCTGTGATTTTAGGATATTATATGTCAATCGATTTACTTTTTTGTGTAAAACAAGATAGAAATATTGACTATTCCCACATATATTATTACTGTAAGGCTCGAAATTGGTTTTGTACCAAATATAAGTTCCTGTCATGCTCAAATAGCATGAATGGGGTAGCGTCGGGTTCAGAATTTCAAGGGGGTTTACTCTCCACTTTTGTTTTTCTATCTAAAATAAATAAAGTCGATACAAAAATGTTGCTAGGTTTCGATACTGGAACGGTGGTAAGTCTGTACGGATTGATACGGATGATTGATACAGACAAGGCTTTGAAGATTTTTATGCGTATAGCAAGACCCGGATATTTCCTTCGGAACTATCGAGTCTTGCGTTCTTAAGCCCAAAAACGTACTATTTCCGAGATAATGCAAGGCAAAGGGCTCACATCCACACAACCTTACGTTAATTGTAGTACTGTCATTGAATACATGTCTCATTTCGTGACTTGATGAGGCCCCTATGAGGACCTAGAGAGGAGGAGTTTATTTTATTTATCGAAGGTGTTTTTTTTTTTGTTAGCCACATCATCGTTAATTCTTCACCAAATCCCAAGATTGAGCAACCAATTTTGAAGATTCCCTTCTCTTTGAGGCACACAAAATAATCTAATTACCTCGAAAATTCAGGCAAAAAAGTTATGAAAGAAAAGAAACATTATTTTCGAATAACTCGGAAATTACACACTTTTCCCTTAGTTATGTCCATGGTTATTTAAACGATTACTAAATCTCCTACAAAAGTAAAAACAAATTATCGGAACCTGACTATTGTTAGCAAAGATATAGGTTATTGAAATTTGTAAACATGTTGGTTCCAAACTTTAATGAAGTTTTAAATTAATTTTTGTTTCCTTTGTCGATTATATTTAGCGAGAACGTAACAATTGATTTCTTTCATAATACGTTGCATTGTTTTATTTTCTTATTAATTTATTATTTGATCATTAAAGTTCAGTGACTGAACTATATACTGTGCGAATTTTCGCACGGGCCTAATAGTTGTATTAAAAGAGTTATAAAGTATCGTAAATTATAAAAACTGAAATGCGCTTCCAGTGAAGTACACCAAATAAAGTTTATTAGAAAAACCAACTTCGATTCGTTTTTAATGTCCTTTAAAGCTCTTGAATACGATTTTTTATATAAATAATTTATTTAAAAATTTAATAATTGATTTTCTCAGAGATTTTTTTTCTGGTCATTAAAGAAGTACTCATTACTTCTCAGAATTTTCTCCAAATTCAGTGATAGTACAACCGTTGAAAAGCTGAATTGCTACCCTTCCTAACACATCAATAACATTTAGATTTAATTCCATTTAAAATAATAAATTAAGAAAATCTTTCCAATATTTTTTTTATTTTTGTATCTTTTGTTTTGGTTTGTTTATGGAGGTCGGTTTTGTACCATTTCATGTAACATATAGAACCCTAAATCTCTAATATTTTTAGTTATTAATTTAAATTGGTATGGATGTCCCCTAAGCCTTCAAGGAAGAAGATTTTTATTTGTCTGAATAAGGCAATTTATGACATAAAATATCCCATCCCTTGTAAATGTTGCCAATTCAGAAAAAGATCTCTACTTTACGGAATTAGCATTTGCATTGTTGATTTTCCAAATGCTTCAATGTAGCTTACGAATGCAGCTTTCATTACCAAACGGGTGTCAGTAAAATTAAGGTAATAGCTCATTATTATAAATTACCATTTATAAAACCAAAATCAAGCCCAATAATTAATTGTATGAAAACGTAAATATTAGGATTAGGAAAATTAAATTGGTCACTTAATACAATGAGGATCATTTCTCATGATATAGAATCTGTGTAAAAAGGCTTCTGAATTCCGACTTGGAATGATCCATTTTGGCAAAAGCATTATTTTTTAAACTTTTCTTTTATAAAAAAAAATTTTTTTTTACATTCCAAGTCAGAGAAAAATAATCAATTAAGCCTTTTTAATAAATTAGCGTGTTTATTTTTGCAAAAACAGAGATACTTTTGTATGACAGAATATCAAATCACTTAATTTATTTACATAACTTTGCGTAGTTTAGCGTCTTGAGAATCTCCTTTAAATTTTTTAATCATAGACAAACTCTACTTGCAATTAAAGTAAATTTTGTCTAGTTTACTAAGAAGGAATTGCTAAGCACACCAATGAAATATTTTTTATACAATACATTTACCGACTTACTTGTTCAAAAAAATACAAAATTTAAATTTCCTACATTTCTGTAGAAAATCGGAACACTGTTTCTATAGTTTTATATGTGTACCTCTCAAGGTTTGATATTACCCGTTTAAATATTTACCTTTACTCACAGGGACACCCTGTATAGTCTTTACATTTTTCCAAATTTAAGTCAACGTATGATCCCTTTTCCGGATACAGGAAAGGATTTTGGTCAGGAAAATTATTTTTGTCATTGTCGTTGGAGCTCGCGATCGCTGGAAAAGTTGAAATATTTTACACTTGCCTTGCCTCGGACTGCGATAGAAGCCGGGAGCCTAAAGCCCTAACCCTCGGCCTCCCTCGGTAATCGGGAGCCGACAATAAGGGCCGGTAAGATAGAGAGGATGCCCCAGCTGCCCCGAAGACGTCCGAACTTAAGATCCCGGTATTAGAGAGCGGTTATCAATTAGAAAGCAGTCCCGGTTAGTGCCTTACTCTGATACTCAATAACCCCAAACTACGCCGACTATTAATAATTGCCCGCTCCTCTTGTCCGATACATCACTCGAATTTGTCCGCTCTATAATCCACCGAGAGAACTCTCACCTAAGCCACTCTACTGATTTATGTTACGGACTTAAGTTATGCCAACTATACTACAATTGTTCAGGACCTAACCCCGCTCATATTTAGGGGATCTGTCTGGAATATCTTGTCGGAAATGGAAGGGATACATACTTAGGCCTTCTTGGTCGGCTTTTTGGATATCCTTAGTTATAATGGAATTGCGAATTGTACGTATGAACTTAAAACTTTCTGTCCGGTTCATTTTTAATTAAACTAAGGTCTAAACCTATATTATGGAATCAACAGAAAAGTATAAAAAGTTTATGTTAATAGATGCCGATCCATAGAAGATTCACTACGCTGTTTGATGTTCTATAGTCAATCAATTTACAGTTATAGTGTAGACATTATAGGTTCTAAACTTCAGTAAAATATTACCGTGGTTACAACCTTTTTAAATATTCAGAAAAATCATGCTTTTATTACTTAAATTCGAAACTGATAGAGGCTACAAAAACAATAAAAATATAATTTTCTCAAGTTGATTCGTAGGAATTTGAGAAATAAATAGTGTATTGAAGAGATTTTTGGTGTCGATGGGTATCATCGCTTTTAGCCTTTATAAAGATAAACTAAATATTATATTGTAATAGAATATTTTATGTCATGCTGGCAATTATCCATAACTGGTGTTGCCCAAAATCGGTCTTGGTCTTGCACTTTGCAAGACCAAGACCAAGGCCACCCAACTGTTGCAAGACCAAGACCCGGACTGGTAAAAAAAATCGATTTTTTAAATAAAAATTAAGCCAAATTGTTACTAATAGTTGACACTTTTAGTTACTATATGTAAATAATTGGTATGACCAATATACTTTTGCATTTAACTCCTCTAATTTTTCATTTAGGCTTAGTTAGGTTTCTCCTATCTGAAAAATCTCAGTAATATAACCTAATAAATAAAATGAATAAAACGAATATATATATATATATATATATATATATATATCTTAAGTAGTGTTGCCGATATTCGGTGTTGGTCTTGCACTTTGCAAGTCCAAGAGACCAAGGCCACCTAACTGTTGCAAGACCAAGACCGGCAAAAAAAAATGGATTTTTTAAATAAAAATGAATGCAAAATAGTTAATAATAATACTCCACAATTTTAGTTACTATATGTTAATCATTGGTATAACCAATATACTTTTGCATTTAACTCCTCTAATTTTTCATTTAGGCTTAGTTAGGTTTCTCCTATCTGAAAAATCTCAATAATATAACCTAATAAATAAAATGAATAAAACGAATATTAATTCGTTTTATTCATTACGAATATATATGTGTATATATATATATATATATATATATACACACACACACACACACACACACATATATATATATATATATACACACACACACACACATATATATATATATATATATATATATATATATATATATATATATATATATATCTTAAGTAGTGTTGCTGATATTCGGTGTTGGTCTTGCACTTTGCAAGACCAAGAGACCAAGGCCACCTAACTGTTGCAAGACCAAGACCGGCAAAAAAAATGGATTTTTTAAATAAAAATGAAGGCAAAATAGTTAATAATAATACTCCACAATTTTAGTTACTATATGTTAATCATTGGTATAACCAATATACTTTTGCATTTAACTCCTCTAATTTTTCATTCGGGCTTAGTAAGATTTCTCCTATCTAAAAATACAGTAATATTTCCATAATAATAAGCTAATAAATAACTGCAAGACTGTTGCGAGACTCTTGCGCAAGATCAAGACCCTGGCCAAGACTAAGTTTGCAACTTAAAAAACAAAAAACAAAAAAAATTGTAATATACACAGACATACATACAATGTATATGATGTTTGGAAGGAAATAAAGTGTAATGAATACAGACTAACGTTTAAAAAAAAATTGATTATTTTTTATTTATGTTAATTTTATAGTTCATTGAAGCAGATAAAATTATAATTTTTTAAGATACTAGCCATATGACTTGTTATTATGATTAGTCTTCTGTATCTAATAATTTTTTCTATTTCTGTTCCGATGAATATGGTAAGTTGTTGCATCATAAGACTAGTTACGGCTATGTAAATATTTTCTGAGGGAAAGTATCAGCTGAATATGAATGGGTTCCATTTGTCGTGAGCTCCGTTGCTGTTTCATGTCTCGTCCTCAACTCCCGCACTGGAGGAGGATGACTGGATTAAAGAAGCCGGGAGTTGGGAAGAGGTTAGACAGGGGGCCCACGGTTACTTGAGCCCAATTAAAGAATTAAAGCTATAGAGAAGGGGTATGTAGGTGGGGGTGTGCAATGCATAACCAATTAGTTGGAGCAAAAGTTTAAATTAGCTCTCTCCGATACATCTCTCCCTCTCTCTTCCTCTCCCGCTCGACTCCTCGCTATTTTTGTCTCTACTCCCCGAACCTCTGCATAGCTTCTAATCCGAACCCTCCTAATGTAACCCTTTTTTTTAGCCATCTCACCGAGTTGGAATTATTAACTTTTTGTATCAATATGTTATTCTGCTTATGCATAGAGTACTTTGTTTTGTTTTAATTGGTAAGTTATTTATAAAATACACCAAGTAATAGTAATGATTCTGAATTTTATGCTATGTTTGAGAAGTATTGTACTTCGCCTGATATTGTTACCAAATACCAAAAAATCTGCCCATTAATCTCGGTGAAAAACCACTGACAGCTTACAGCCCGATTTTTTTTTATTCGATTTTCGTATTCTAGGGATGTAAAAACTTAAAATTTAAGGGTCTTAACTTTTTTTTCTTGTTCGCTTATAAAGTTGGAATTATCTATTTATGCTTTAAGATAGTCAAAGAAAGCAATTTGTAGTGATTTCCTTTATATTAGTTTAACAGAGATTGATTATGAAGCCTTCCCACACCACCGTAGATGTTTACCCTAAGGTAAGGCATTACCACGGAGGTAAGACGAACTCTCCCCAGATCCCAGCGGAGATGTACAAGACAAAGGGTTGGAAGGAAGGCAGTGTTGGAGGATGCAAACAAGTCCTAATTAGCATCTGCTGGCCAAGCAGGGTATAGCACTTAGCCGTCATCCGCCCGTCAGGTGTCTGCGGGGGAGGCCCTGTTTTCCTCCCGATATGGCGTAACTCACGTATCGATCTCTAAGTTCATAGCTCTATAATAGGTATATTTCTGTTTGCTGGATTACAATATTGTAAAAATCTTGTATCTATTCTCTATTTTTCTTCCTGAAATATGGAATTGTAGTTCTGCTATTAGTATGTTTACCGATCATCCCTATTTACTTTATGAAGCACTGAAGGACTCACAGGAGCACTGAAGGTATTCAAGTACTTAAATACCTTCAGTTCTCGGAACACGTCTTGATGATGACCCACATGTTTGAATTGAAACGTTGCCACCAATAAAAACTTTATAATGGCTGTGTCATGAATATTTATCACCCATGATATTACAATTTCATTAAGATATTACATATTTCCATAAGATATTAACAACTTCAATTGTTTAATTCTTCCTTAATTGCATTAATATTGGACAAGTTAATGTGTTAGGATTTCATTTATTATTTTTCTAGTATCACATGGTTTTATAAATTAATTTAAATTTTTCTATCATAGTCTTGTTGAATCCAGTTTTTACTTTCCATTTGAATATCCATATGGATTTTAATCGAATTCCTTAGCTTCCTAAGTATTGTTATTCCTAGTTATTGTGGATACTAATTCGAAAAAGTACAGGGGTGTGTGATTATCATTGGTGGGAAACAAAAATTGAAATTGTTTTAACTTTCTTCTTAGAAATAATACAATTACAGATAAAGTGTCACAATTAAAACAAAACTTGAGTTAATCAACTTCTTTAATTTAGGATAACCAAACTGAAAAGCATTAATTATGATAAATCTCGAAGTTAAAAAACCAAACAGACAATATATAAACACAATAACCATAAAGAAATATATAATAGGACAAAAAATTGATTCAGGAAGCCTGAAAGGACCATGAAAATATTTAAGCGGGTTTTATAAATCAACCGGTAGGTCTCGAGTTTACTACGAATTGATAGATACATTCTTTAAATTTTCCATGTGCTAAATCATAATTATAAGTGATAACAAGTCATTCATAATAATGTTAATTGTTATACTATGGATTAAGCATTTTATAAGTATGAGGGTAATATTACACGGTATAATCGTTGCCCCTTCTGCACAGCCATTATTGTGTTCCTCTCGATCCCCTGCAATAAGAAAATAACATATTCCGTTCACTAAGTAAGACAGTTGTCAACGAATTGCAGAATTTATATGACTGGGAGACTTAAAACAATGGGAGACCCACTATGTAACCAAAGGGCTCTTTAAAACCTTGATTCGCCTCTATTAGAATATGTATGGAAAGATGTGAGGAAACAAATTTAATTATGCTGAGAACCAACCATGGAAATACAAATAAATTCTTAAACTTTATAAAAATGATGTCGGCACGTCTGAAAAGAAGATGGCCTCGAGATCTCCTATTGTAAATACATTTTGTTTTTAAAGTGCTACCAGTGGGTAGTTTCTCAACAAGTGATTTCATGTTATTATTTTCTGTTATTAAATTTACTAAATGTATTTTATTTATTAATACAGTTGTAAATATCATGATTAAATAAATAAAAAAAAAAGCTTTGCTGAAGGCATTTCTGTTTGTTGTAAAATGCTCAGACTATTACGCAAATATTAAACGAGGACAGACAGCCCCTCGTGTTGTGAGAAATTCCCTCAACTGGGGGAGGACTGAGAATTCATTAGCAGTCCAGATTTTACAGCTCTAATTTTAATATTGGACCGGGCCTTATGGGACAGCTGGTCGCACCTCTTAATTTTAATTTCCTCCCATTAACACCATACCCAAAAAATAATCAGAAACATTATAATTTTTTTAGCCTCGTAACTTTCTTAAAAACTGTTAGCACTTATTTTCGAATTGTAGTTTTATTGAATAGATTAATTTGTCTAGTTGATCTCGTCTTCTGAAATGTTTTAATAGACCCTCTATTATGATTTCAATCTTGATTAGCAGCTCTCACTTCGTCATAAAAGACTGTAACCACGTGGAACTAAATACCCCATGCAGTTCCAATTTTAATACATGTGATGCGGTTGAACGGGAGGCATTGGGATCTCTTACATCATCATCATCATCATGTGTGGCACAACATCCCGTTACCGAGACTGGGCCTCCTCCAAGAGCCTCCGCCAGTTGGCTCTGTCTTCTGCTGCAGCTCTTCAGTTCCGTACACCAAGCCGGGTGCTCGCATCATAGGCCACGTTGTCCAACCAACTCGTCCTCGGCCTTCCTACCCGTCTTACGAGGTGCAGCTCCTCCATCATTATTTTTTTTGGCATTTCAACGGTGCTCATTCTGGCCACATGCCCTGCCCACCTTAGTCTGGCCAGTTTAATATACGTGACTACGGCGATGTCTGCATAGAGAGAACTGAGCTCCCTATTTTTTCTTTTCCTCCAGACATCACCCTCCTTTACTGGACCATAAATCCTTCTGAGGACTCCTCGCTCAAACACACTCAGCTTCATCTCATCCTTTTTAGTCATCGTCCAAGCCTCTGAGCCATATGTCAAAACAGGCCGAACAAGGGTCTTGTATATGATCAGCTTGGTCTTCTTTGAGAGGTACCTACTTCTTAAGTGTCGGCCAAGTCCAAAGACACATCTATTGGCAGCCGTGATCCTTCTTTGTATTTCTTGAGCCATGTCATTTTTGCTATTAATTTCAGACCCAAGGTATATAAAACTTTTCACTCTCTCAAACTTAAAAGAACCTATCTCAAATGGAGAGTTCAGATCCACCTCACCACCAACTCTCATATACTTAGTTTTCCTCTCGTTGACTTCTAGACCAAGTGGTCTTGCAGCTGCTTCAAGGCCTATAAACGCTTCTCTGAGAGCCCGTTCAGACCTACCTATTATGTCAATATCATCAGCAAAACAAAGAAGCTGTGTCAGGCGATTGAAGATTATATTGTTGGTCTGAATACCGGAGTCTCTTACAGCTTTCTCCTCTGCCAAGTTGAACAATAGATAGGCGAGGGCATCCCCTTGCCTAATCCCACTGCTCACTTTAAACTCTTCGGAGTCGTCAGAACCGACGCGTATTCTACATCTCGAGCTGTCCATGGTCATCTTAATTAGGCGTACGAGCTTCTGAGGGATGGTTAGCTCCTCCAAGGCACAGTATAGTTGCGTTCTATCAACGCTGTCGTATGCTGCTTTAAAGTCCAGGAATAAATGGTGGGATCTCTTACAGTCCAGCATTTCCTTCCACTAGTGGGGAGAAAGAGTTGGCTCGGAGTTCTCCTGAATGAATGAATGTTGTAAATATTATATAAAATGATGCCTATATTTTAGTAGTTATTTTGATTGGTTTAGTTTTATTTTGTTGTCCATTTCTAGTTTCTTTTTGGTGGGGTGGCCAAGTGGGCTAACGCGGGTGTACAGCACCATGCGTTTTCAGACAGCCTGATAACCGAATTTTGAAATAAAAATAAGTGAAAAAAATAATTACGAGTTGAAATCCCGGTGGCCGGTGGGACTTTTAACTCGTTATAACCCTCCCCCACTCCCCCCCGCCTTCTTCCTCGTTCTCGGAAAAACATCGTGCAGCCTAAAAGGCAAGGAAGGGAAGATAAAAAAAAATTTAGTTTCTTTTCTCTTTGTTTGTATACATTTATTTTTAGTATTATTATTTTTCTATTTAGATTACTTTTATTGATTGTACTTATGGTGTAAATGAACTCCTTTATCATTATCTAAATTATTAATGCCATTAATTGTGATATAATGTAATATTAATCAATAAAGAAATGTTTATATAAAATAAAATTTCCATTAATTCAGCACTAACCAGACTGAATAAGCCTTCGACCTTTATCCGTTTATAGGGGGATAATAAGAACTCTATAATTCTATTTTTAAACTTCAAAAATATAAAGGATTTTTTCATTATCAACATAAAAAAAAAATAATCTAAATGAATTAAGTCAATAAAATTATAAATTATAATATTCATTGTAGTTTAGTATTCAATGAAGTAGAATTTTATTTTAGATTGCTCATTATTATTTATTAATGAACTCAAAGAACAAATGACCTGGCATATTGCATTATGAATGTTATCTATTCGATATATGGAATTGGATTTTAAGGCTTCACAAATTTGGTTCTACGTTTTTTCCTTAGGAGTTGGTATCGGTAGGGCTCATTCTTTTCCACCTGCAGACAAAATATTTGTAGTATGTGTAGTTTTCTGCAGTGACTAATTGAGGAAAATTTGTATATGTTAAGTCAATATAGTTAAAAACGGCTAATATCCCAATTAGACATAGATCTAACTAGAATTAGATTTGAGCACTCATAAATGTTCCACGGAGGTAAAAAAAACCATGTCACATTTTGGTATTTGTTCAGAGAGCCAATTTCCTATAACTTTGGATATTAAATTTTGTTTCTTAGTTACTAAATTATTTTTTAAAAAATGGATATGGTGTCCTTTTCCTTCGGGGCACAGAAATAAATTAATATATTTAAGCATTTTGGGTCTGTGATTAATTGATAATACGAAATCCATAGAAAAATAAAGACGGTCAGGGGTGGTGGCCATAAAGAAACTAAAATAGTGAAAAACTAGTTTATTAAAGTCAACGTTTCCACCCAAATTTGCAGGTATTCTTCTTCTTTCGTCTTTTTATTCATTTATTTTTTCTTAACAACTCTTTATGTCTATTATTTATTATCATTTTACCTTTTTCTTTCAATATCTCATTGAGATCTGTAGGAGTATATTTATATTTACATATATTATCCATCCTTCTTTATACATTCAATAATTCTACAATAATCTACAACAATTGTTACCATTTATTTACTTCAGTTTAGGATCTTGTTACTTAGTTTACTCGGTTTATATAGTTTATTTTTCTTAATATTTCTATGTACTTACTGTTTATAATTTCAATAAGTTTATTCACCTTGTTTATAATTTTTATCTAAA